GTGTTGGGTTAAATAAACAACATGCTTCTTTGGCAAATTTCTTCTTGCTTGAACAGAAAAGTAACTTTTTTGAGATTATCTGAAATACTTGCTTAGGACTTTGAATCTTTGCTTAGTGCAAACATTACGTGGATCAATAGCTTTAGATAGTCAAATTAAAACCTTATAATGCTGTTTTAAGAAATGCACTGGCTCATATCTAAAAGGTTTCTGTCAAATACTGAAGATCACAAGAGCCCCCACTGCAATAAAATTGAAACTGAAACTCATTTCTTACTGAAATGTAAAGAGCATAGTGACAGAAAAACTAGATTAATGATACCACCAGAGCAGGAAACGACCCTGTAAAACTTAAGCTGCTGCTCAGTCTATTAAGTGAATCATGCTTAAGAGCCATGCATGTATATATAACTGAAAGCATTAACAAAACGAGATACCCATTACTTGCCATTGTCTATGATCCTCTGCTATTTTCTAGTCCTCATGCCTATTTTGTTAATAATATATTTTGTATAAATATGTGTGTAAAAAGCAATAGTGTAGAGAGCCTATAAAATATAGTTTTTACACATTTTAGTTCTTAATTAAGTATTAATATTTATAATTGTTATTATAAATATCAATGGACATGGTACTCATCACTGGTGTAATTCAAATTGACAATTCACTAAAATGACAAGAAAACAACACTGATAATGATTTGCACATTTTGTTTCAATAAAAATTAAATGCCTGGTGTCATTTTGACGCAGGGTACAGCAGTTATTTGCACTCTGGCCACACACACTTTTAATGCTTTTAACGAAAGGCATTATTTCCTAGGGAGCCTGCCAATACAAGAATTACAGGATATGCACCTTGTTCTCCTACAGTTAAATTCCCACGGTTGTATGCACAAATGATTAAAAACACATCAAGAAATATTAAATGTGATACTGAGTAGAATTATCCATTATACTTTATGTGTGATAAAGCAAAATTGAGGTAATCTGATGATTAATCTGTAAATTCGGAACACACTTGATTTATTTGATCTTTAAATGTGATCTTATCTCTGATAGCTATATAGAAACACCTGTCACTCACACAGCAAGCTCACTGCCCTGCTCACTTGGGTTATTTTGGGCTGAACAGTTGACATTGCTGCCAACAATGATGAATGAGAAACAAGTTTGTTTACCAGCTCTACAAGTTTACACATTGGACCCTTCACGCCAAATACTGGTTACAACACCAACTGTTAAAACATCTAGCTAATCCTTTACAAAAGAGACTTGCTTTCAAATTTGATACCACAGCATTGCTGGTTTAAAAACACATGCTACTTCGACAAGACACACTTAAAGAATTAAAAATGTTTATTCTAATAAACAGAATTTTAAATTTCCAGTATTGCTTGTAAAATATGTACAGATAATGAAATATTTCTGCAATATGAAAATAATTTTAAACAGAATTCTATTAAAAAAATCAAAACAAGGAAACTTACATGTTGCCATCAGGATGTGAGAATGTTCAATTTTGTCATCTCCTGCCATTGCTATGACAAAGTTAATGCTGGTCACTGGTAAATGAGTGTGGATGGTCTCATCATCTGATAATACATGGAGAAGCTGCCCCGTGTCTGGATTGAAAACCTAAGAAATGAGAAAATGCACCCAACTTACTACATGAAATCAAATATACTGAGCGTGAGTTTATTTTGGTATAATTCTAGTAGCTAAGAAATGATGTATCTATGTATATATATTTTAAACATATGAGATTTAAGTGTTGGTGGTATCGCCAATTGATTTACAAGATATATCTGCTTCACTTAAAGCATGGGCATAGAATCCACGCCCTACAGGTAGCAGCAAACATTTTCTGTATGCTGAAATGACAAAGATATAATGTTGAGAGGTACAGTGTATGAATGCTGCCATGAATATTTTAGTAACTGTGTTCTTTAAAAAATCTTTAGAACTGCTGTAGGGCCAAACAGAACTGTCACTGATATATACTGGTTGGCGAGTTTTTTGTAAAGAGGTTTTAAGTACATAAAAACTGTTAATGCTGGTCAAATACATTGTGGGTAATTTTTCAGTATACAAACGACACTGTCAATATTTTTCATAATGTCACTTTTTCTCCACTTCTCCAAACCAGGCCAAATGCATTTTCCTCTTTTAAGAGGAAAAAAAATCAGATTTGGTTGCACATGTCAACCAACTTATCAATGTTGTCTGGCCTAAAGCAATAAAAATCCTAAAATTTATCATCGATTTTTTTTTCTTATAAAAAATAAAGCAGGAAAATCAGAAAATGTATATTGGCAAGTTTCTGGGAATTCTGAGCTAGTGCATTTGATGACTGGAAATCATTGAAAGTTCACTTTGAATAATTTACAGCAGATCAATCATAGAATTTTCCAGCCTTGAGCACCAGTGTTCTATTCTGCGTCTAATGGCATCACACACACACTTTACTGCTGTTAGTATTCTACCTATTGCAGGTAAATCTGATAAATAGTACCCTTATTGATTTTTGATAATTTAGATTTAGTTCTGAGAATTCTTCTTAATGGCTTTTAACTCTCCATGTTCTGCAATCAATAAGTTTTCTTCCCAAGTGAACATACTTAGGTAGAAGAACCATCAATTCAAGGGTTGATTTTCTTTCTTTGGCACTATATAGTTTCTTCACACACATACACAATGACACATATAAAATAGATCTAAATTAATTAAGAAAATACGAAAATAAAAAATTAGAATCTCAGGCATGTAAAAAGTAATTTTACTGAATTTTTAGATCAAACATGAAACTAAATGATTATTTTCTCTTCAGTTCTGTAAAACAATTACACAAAAGTATAATTCCACCATGTTTTGTGCATCACCTCCGTATGATTGCTTTTAAAGATGATATTACCTGCAGTAATAGTTTCCACCTTATCTTTAAAAACCTAGCAACACCTTATGTGTATTCTCACCTTTTCTAGTCTCATAAGATGCCAACCAGAGTTGAAAGTTTTGTTTTTCCTATCTCCATTACAAATTGAAATACTGTACTGATTTTGTTATCTGGCCAATAAATATGCCACAGGGTAAAAAGTATTTCTACCAAAGCTTACTTTGATTGTCCCATCTGCTTGACCCACTGCCAATACATTTCCCTCAGGATGGAAGCGACAACACATCACTTCATGCGAACATTCCCTAAAACAAATAGAAAAAAAAAAAACATTTAAGTTTCAAACTATTTATACAGCACAAAACTATTTGTGTGTTTTTTTAATCTACAAAAAATATTTTCCCCTAACCTTTATTTTGAAAAAATCTCAGAGTCTTCGGCATTTTGGTATTTTTTTTTTCATTTTCCGCTGACTTATTATCATTCATCTACGTAAAGTTCAACTATAAATTCTATTTATTTTCAATGCAAGAAGATTTTTTAAAGCACATGACTGAGATAAAAATAAGGGAGGAGCATGATCTAAAATTGCAAGAAGTAAGGCTTATTATATACTAGTACAAAAGTGACCACTGGCCTATGAAAATCGCTGTAGGAAAATTGTACTTAAAGTGATAATAACTCTTCGTTTCTGTCAAAAAATGAATTTTCCTGGAGTAAACAACAATTTTCCCATACTTACCAATGGTTAATGAATCCATTTTTACTTTCAAATTTAGTCCCTGGTTTTTTTCTAAAAAGTTTGGTTTTTTGTTAAAATCTCTTAAGAGATTTTAACAGAGTATAGCCATCAATGGAGGTCACGTGGTCTAAAGACAAGCTCACATGTCAGAATAATAGCTATAACTGCTGTTTTTGTGGTAAAACAGAATATATTATATTTCTATGAGTTATTCACAATGTTTTTATTGTGAAATATAGATCTCATACGAAGAGTTATTATCCCTTTAAGTAAAATCGAATGAGACCAAACCATGCAGACTTCTGCAAACTTGCAGTATCCCCCCACCACCACCATAACTCTGTGATATTCAATATCTCTTCTAAATCAATTTGTGTGATGACTTTAAGCGGGTGGCGTCTCGAAAATCCAAAGGTTCATTTGTCCTTAAAATCATATATACACGCCTCTGATGAACTTCACTTTATTGCCAGTATACCCTACAGTTTTCTTCATGCATTAATTCGGACTATCATACCGTCCGACCAACAAACCTTCAGACTATGGCTTTTAAGCAATGTCTCTGCTACTCAAATAAATTAGTTGGCAATTCATTTATTTATTTTTAAATGTTTTTTTACATGAAACTTTATGCCTTTCAAATATGATTCCATTTTCAATAGTTTATAAATTTGTAATAAATGATGATGTTCACAATTGCAGATCCTGTCAATTACAAACAATAAGAAGCTGTTAAGTTTCATGCATCTATTTGCATAACTCGATATTTTTAATGGTTAAATGCATAAAATCCCATGCACCTGCACTTGTCTTGTTAGCTCCCTCCCCCCTCCCTTTAATAAATTAAATTATTTTTTTTTCAGAGGTTGTCCTAAGAATCGGCACTATTGATGTGGGCCGGATCACATATAAAGCAAAAATCATTTATCGATTTAAAAATCAGGTTGTTTTGTGTGTGTTACAAAAAATAGAAACAGTAAATATTGTGAAGACTTTAAACTTACAGAGTGTCTACCCATTTCAGATTTCCCTCCATACGTGGTTGCCTTGAACGAAAAGACTCCATGTCTGAACTCACACTTGTTCTCCTAGTAGAAGCGACTGAGCCCACTGACCCAGACCTTCCCCTTGGTGTGAACAGAAACATGCTGACATGGACTGTTGAACCGTTTAATATATCCGAATAAGATCTAACGATATGGAAATACTATTGTGCGTCGGTCGTCACTCAGCAAAACGTAAACTATGTCAGAGCAATTGAGGTCAAAGGTCAGAGGTGATAGCTCCGCAGTGAATGGTTATCATGTGCTGGCCAGTGGAGTAGAACCGTGAAGGGGGGTGGGTATCTATTTACTTCGTTTATTTTTAAATATCTCACACGTGTTTGTAGTTAAAACTATAAGATAAAGTATGTTGTATAAATACAGTTGAGAAAGCTGATTTCAGATTGACTGGCATGCAGTACTTTAGTAAAGATGTTTTTTTAAAAAGTATTTAATCTGATTCTACTGTAATTAGGTACATGTACATGTACTGGTACTACAGGTATTAATTAATCCTGACGTACATTACTTCCTGGACTTGTAGATTGTAGTAACACGGGTGTAAATTACACTAGTACTGCATATCAATATCAATAATAGTATTAGATTTTATTAAAATTCCATTCTTGTAAATAAAATTTATTTTTCTTTTTACTATGAGTTTTGGTGTCTCAGGATCCCATGTCAAACTTCATGATTTGTAATTTAACAGTATATTTTAATGGGCTCATATACTTGATGAAAGCCTTCACCTTTCAAGGAGGACTTGGAAGATTAAGTTAAACAGCCATGCTTCAACCAAGGCGTGTGGTGGTGACGGGTCTGGGTTTGGTGACTTGTCTGGGCAGTGGCACAGCACATGTGTGGGAGAGAGTCATCAAAGGTCACTGTGGCCTGACTAAACTAGATGGCAAAGGCAAGAACCAGTTTTCAATTGTGTCCATTTATTCCTGTTTTCTCCCTGAATTCAAACTGGAGACAAGAAATAGTGTATTTGAAATATTGAAGTACTGCACAGTATATTATAAAAAATATTAAAGTATGTATGAAATACATTGTAAATGTCCCAATGTTACATTAGTTCCAAGTTTCAATTAATAGACTGAAGGTTCAGTTATCAGAAGATATAAGCTATAATTGCTTTTTGAGACCTATTTTCTTAAGACAACATTGTTGGTGAAAACCTTTCATTTCTCTAATTGCTGTTCAATGAACCTCTTTGTACAGAACAATTGAAAAGTTTCAACTAGTGAACACCCATGAATCTTAAGACTTCTAAAATGATAATTAAAGTCTATTCAAATTATTGAAAATTAATTCTTGTGTATTGTTGAAATCTAGAGTGATATATCAATATTGATTGATGCTGTTTGCCATTTGGTGTAGAATTTGCAGGTATTCCCAGTCAGGTGGCAGGGCGTGTGCCCATAGGAAGTTGTCCAGGAGAACTGAACCTGGAGGACATTGCTTCCTCTAGAGAAAGGAGATCCATGGCACAGGCTACATTGTATGCTCTAGCAGCAGCTAGTGAGGCCTTGTCAGATGCCAACTGGAAACCAGAGACTGACAAGGAAAGGCAGAGAACAGGTGAATTAAAAGTGAATTGTTATGTATAACAGCATGCAGTAAGTGCAAAGATTAAGTAATGAATACCTTGTGTTAACTTGATAAAAAATCCCAATGACATATAGAAAAATCAAAATTATGATTTTTGTTTAAAGGGATGAAATGGCTCACTAGTCTATGTTATTTTCTATTTTTAGGGGTAGCTGTCGGCGTTGGAATGGTTTCAATGGAAGAAATACATGAGGCTGGAGCTTTACTTTCAGATGGCAAATACAGCAAAATAAAACCTCACTTTATACCCAGAATCTTGGTTAATATGAGTGCTGGACACATTAGTTTGAGGCATGGCTTGAAGGTATGAAAGCCAGTCAGTTATCTTTCCAATATAATATTTTTCCAAGAAAGTATGAAGTAGGCCATGGAGGCAGGATTAAAATATTGCTGTTCAAAAATTTATTTTATTGCTTCAGTAATTGATATTAGAATTTCTATTTTACTATTTGAATGTAGAATTAGTGACTTCATGGTCTCTGTACTATATTGGTGTACAAAAAATTATTTTATTGCTTCAACAATAACATAAACATACCCTCATTGATACTATAATTTCTATTTCACTATTTGAATGTAGTATTAGTGACTTCAAAGTCTCTGCTCTCTTTTTCAGGGCCCAAACCATGCAGTGTCCACAGCATGTTCTACTGGACTCCATGCCCTGGGGGATGCTTCCAGGTTTATACAGTATGGGGATGCTGATGTAATGGTGTGTGGGGGGACAGAGGCATCTCTGTACCCCCTAGCTGTAGCAGGGTTTGCCAAAATGAGAGCACTGAGCACCAACTTCAATGACACACCTGCTAAAGCCTCGAGGCCATTTGACAAATCACGCGATGGTTTTGTAATGTCGGAGGGTGCTGGTATTGTGGTTTTAGAAGACTATGAGCATGCGGTTAACCGAGGAGCTAAAATGTATGCTGAAGTACTTGGATATGGATTATCTGGGGATGCTTACCACATTTCTTCACCTTCCGAAGATGGGACTGGTGCACGCAGCTGCATGGGAAATGCAATAAAGAATGCTAATCTGACACCAAAAGATGTGACATACATTAATGCTCATGCTACTTCAACTCCTCTTGGCGA